CCCCAGGGGCGGGCCCACGACGAGGTGGGGGCCGGGGGGGGGGCAGAGGGGTTTCGGGGGTCTGAGCCGCCCCGCGGGAGCCTCGGGGTGCTGAGCAACCGGGCAGGTGGGTTTTGGGGGTGTCGAACAGCTTGGGTGGGTGGGTTTTGCGGTGCTGAGCTGCGGGGCTTCAGGTGGCCGAGCTGCCGGGCGGGTGGGTTGTGGAGTGCTGAGCAGCAGAGGAATGGGGGGATTTGGGGTGCTGAGCAGTCGGGTGGGGTGTTTCTCTCTTCCTTCCTCCAGAGCAAGAAGCACGCCAACAAGGTGAGGCGGTACCTGTCCATCCATGGCGCAGAGGAGCTCTCCCACGGGAAGAAGATGAAGCTGGATGCAAAGCAGGTGAGAGCAAGACTGTAGGACCCTGCAAGCCAAAACACCCCCGAGCAGGATCTGCTCAGCGAAAAGCTGTAGTGCTGGGCACCTTTACAAATAAATGAATAAAAACACTCCTGGAAGGGGCCTTGTGAGAGCTGAGCTGCTCAGTGGCTGGTCTCTTGTCAGGCCTTGTCTCAGCTGTTGCCTGTCCCTTTTAAACAGCTTCCATGAGTGTTTCTTCCCCATTTAAACAAAGGCACATGGCCTTGTATTGATAGTCTTGTTTGAAAGGACCGGGAAAAGTGCGTAGGAGGGACAACTTATCAGGAATACGATTGCATAAGCTCCGCTGTCAGAGAGCACTTTGGGTTGACTGTTCTGGAGTTCTCTTTCAAGGGCGACCTTTTTTTTACTTATTTAAGTTTCCTTGGCTGGTAGCTGGAGCCTGTTGGTCAGTAAAGGCACCACATTCACTTGGCCATCTGTCTGCCCTGTGACTCATTTGGGAAATGGACTCCACTTTTATGATTGCTTCAGTTTTAATCCCTAACTCTCCAGCATGCATGGCAGGGGGTGGGGGATGAAAGCATCGGATGCCTTTGCACATAGTGTGAGGCTTAGGAACTGCTGCCGCCTGCTCCACCGGCATCCTGCTCCACTGGCATCGTGTTGCAGATGACCCAGCTGATAAGGATGTTTGTGTTGCTCAGTTCACACCTTGCCAGAGTAAAAGGCTGCCTGTTCCAAGTCTGGCAGCCACATGCTGATGGGTTAAAACAAGTGATCTGCTGCAAGAACACTCCAGTGAGGCAGAAGATGGTGATGCGTCCTGGAAGCCCTAGGCAGTCACACTTCTTCAACTTAACATCCAAATGTCTCTGGTTGCTTTGTTCTCTTAGACCCCCTGAAGCCTTAGTGTTTCTTCTCATAACAACAAGGTTGGACGATGTGAGCTGTGGAGGTTCCTCTGAACCTCACCACTCCATGATTCTGTCTGCACAGGACAGCAAGCAGGAGAGCAGCAGTGGGGAAGATAGGAACAAGTGTTGTCCCATCTGCAACATGACCTTTTCCTCTCCAGCCGTGGCAACATCTCACTATTTGGGCAAGACTCATGCCAAGAACATGAAGCAGCAGTCCCCCAAAGTGGAAGGTATGACCCTGTGTGCCTTTGTGTTGTACTGAGGAGCTGTTCAAGCTAAACAAAAAGTTTAGGGGTGTCATTGGACCCTAAGTGTAAGCTCTGGTGAGGATGTTCCTCCTCTCTCTTTAGTGTGAAACAGAGTAAGCCAGCAGTGCATCTCCAGAGACATGGCCTCTCTCAGCAGCCTCCTTGGTGGGCTGGCATTTGCTAAAATTTGTGTGTTTTTTTGTTTTGCTTTGTTGAGGAGACACGGAGCTTGCAGCAGTGTTGTACCCATCCCTGCGTGCACGGTCTAAGAAAGGGCTGCTCTTTGGGGAGCAGGGTGTTAAGCTGTAGAAGTGGCTGTCACAAGATAGGATGCTTACTGAAAGCTTAGAGGAACTGAAGTGACTGATGAAACTGCTATGGCAAATTGGTCAGGGATGCTCAGTTACCAAGATGTAGCCTCTGAGGTTCAGGGGCTTGTGAGCTGCAGATGGCTGGGGACTGCCAGAGCGTAGCTGGGAAGCATCCATGTGTGCTTGTCCTAGCCTTGTGCTTTTCCCATGGCACCTACTCTTGGCTGATCTCATGATGGGATACAATCCCAGTAGATCTTGAGTCTGACCTTTGTGTCCCATCCTCTGCCAGCAGCTGGAAGGGCTCAGTGGGTGGAGAGAGAGACCCTCTGTCCAGGGCAGGCAGGAGCAGCCAAGAGCCTGAGGTGCTGTAGCTGGTCAGGATGGAGGGAAAATGCAGCTTTGCAGTTCATCTGAGGATGGCAGCTCTGAGCTAGGGTCTTCCAGGCAGGAACTGTTTATCCTAGAGCGTCTTCATGGCTTTGCTAGGTTGCATCTTGCACAGCAGAGTCACTTCTGGGATCAGGGTAGCCCGTGGGTTGTTTTTGCTCTTTGAAGCACTCGCTTTTGGGTATGAGAAGAGCCTTCATGAAAGGGTGGATGTTTGTGTGAGTGCTGTGATGCATACCTTCCATTTCAGCAGG